GGTCAATGACATGAGACAAAGTATATGTGAACTGCTGTATGAAAAGTGAATTTACTCTGTAAATCTTCACCCAAATCCTAATAAAAAAAAAAAAAAAGTATTCTCAAGGAGATCTCATTCCCTCTCCTACCCCTTCCACCCAATGCCCAACTACCTCCTGTAGGGAAGTAATTTCATTATGTTATTTTTTAATGCAGTAGTTGAAGCCAAGAAGTTAATTTTCAGGATCTAGAAGGATTCATCCTTCCTGTTTCTTTTTGGAGCTCTGGTGGCCTAGTGCCTAAGACATTAGACTGCTAACCAGAAGCCTGGCGGTTCAAACCCATCAGCCACTCCTCGGAAGGAAGTTTGGGCAATCTATTTCTGTAGTGATACTGCCTTGAAAACCCAAGGAGGAGTCAATATGTTTCTTTTTGTGGCAGTAAGCAGGTGTGCACATACATACACGCATACATTCTAATTTCTTTTTTACTTACACAAAAGGTAGCATTTCATATGTACCTTTAAATATTTATCTTATTTTTTTCTATTTAATGTACTGGACATTGCCTCATTCTGTTTCAGAGAGATTTTCCTCAGTTTCTTCCTTTTTTTCCTTTTTAAATCACCCTAGACTATATTGTCTTAAGGGTTTGCTTTAAAGGCATCTCTCAGACTCAACAAAATCAACTGCAAGGAAACTTTTAAAGCAAAATAAAAGGCTCATGTTGTATTTTTTGTATTGAGTTAGCATAGTATTCTGATACAAAATTAAGGAATCACTGGTTTGTTTTGTCAGGAATATTACATAATTTCCTCCTCATTTCTTTTTACAACTTCCTAGTACTTCATTGTTTTGATATACCACAGTTTATTCAGCCAGTGTCAATATGAACATGTAAGTGATTTAAACTAATTTGTCACTGCAAAGAAGGCTGAAATGAATATCCTTAAGTGCATACTTTTTCATATTGTTGGAGATGTAGCTTCAGGCTAGGGCTAGGGCAATTTTGTTAGTGTCTTCCAAATTACCTTCCATAGGAATTGCATCATTTTACGTTTCCACCATCAATGTATGAAAATGTCTGTTTTCCCATAGCCAAACCAACAAAATATATTGTCAAATTTTTATATTTTATTTTTTTTACCAATCTAATAGTTGAGAAATGGCATTTCTCTGATTACACATGAAGGTTAGCACTTTTTCTTCTGTTGAGAACCTTTGTATCTCTGTATGTATGTGTGTGTGTGTGCATGTACTTGCATCCTAAGTTCATAGTTCATTAATATTATAGTTAAATTAGGTATTAGGGATATTAGGGATCCCCAAAATAAGATTCTAGAGATCTTATTTTTTAAAAAATGAAACTGAGACCCCTAAAACATAAGCAGTGGCAAAGATAAGATCAAAACCCAGAAGATCCTAATTCTAATTTGATTTTTCATTGAAGTACTAGTTTAGTTTGCATTTCATTGTTTAAAAAAAAAAAAAAAAAGCCAGAGGAATAAAAACTTTTCTTGATTAAAGAACATATTTGAAAAGCCTAGAAAATACCTGACCCATAGGGGGCATTCAACAAATAATGCTGAACTGTATAGCAGCATTAATCAAATTTGAAATTGAATAGAAACAGTACTTTTTAAAACACTTTGCATATGATCTCTAAGTGCTTTCATCAAATTTGTTACTTTAGAAAAGTTGTATGGTGCCACTTAGCTGCCATCTAATTGTTACTTTAGAAATTTGATTAATGACCAGTGTTATAAATATTGCAAGGAAATTAAAAAATAGCTTTATGCATTCAGAATGGGTTTGAAAGTATCATGTCTAATATTAATCACACTCGCTATTTTTTTAAGAATGTGTTAGTCTGTGTATTTTTTAAAGTATATCTTTATCAAGCTTAACTTGCTAGTTTTCACTGTGTGCTTCAGTCAGGCAACTGATGCAACACTTTCTAAAACTTTTAGGTGGTTGTCTTGGACTCAAGAATGAAGCCAGTTGTAAAGTCTTGTTTAATGTATGGTCATGAATATGTCTGAGGTAGTGATTATGTTATTCTTTAAGGCAGTGGTTGAAGCAAAGAAGTTAATTCTAGGAGGACTTGAAAAACCAGAGAAAAAAGAAGACACCATGATGTACCTGCTGGCTTTGAAGAATGCCCTGCTTCCAGAAGGCATCCCCTTGCTTCTGAAGTATGCAGAAGCAGGAGAGGGGCCCATCAGTCACCTCGCTACCACAGCTCTCCAGAGATATGATCTTCCTTTCATAACTGATGAGGTAAAATTCCCAAGAATATTTGCAATGTTGTTTTTCTCATTATCATTAGTTGCATTGAGTAGATTCTGACTCATGGCAACTTCATGTGTGTCAGAGTAGAACTGCTCTAAAGGGTTTTCAAAGCAGGGACTGTTTCGACTCAGATCATCAGAGCTTTTCTTCCAAGGTACCTCTCTCTGAGTGTGTTTGAACTGCCAACCTTTTGTCTAGTAGTCAAGCACTTAATCGTTTCTGCCACCCGGGGACCTAAACATGAATAAAATGCAACTCTTCTCAAATCATCTCATTTTTTCAAACAATCACTTTTTCCTGCTTAGAAATACTGTGACTCTTAAACTGGATGTTCTGAAGCAGAACACATTCATAATAATGTCCTTGCAAAAAGAATATGGAGGTTCTATCTTCTGACCTCCTCTAACTTCACATGAGGAAGAGAGAAACACCATCAGCAGCCGAAGGCTTATTCCTATGAGGCTAGACATGCTGGACCCCTCCAACCTTTTTACCAAATTTGACACCAACCATCCCTCCTACGGTTCACTACTTCTCTGCTGGGTTTGATAATTCATTGCAGTGGCCACACAGACCTCACAGACAGTACTCACGATCATAGGGTTTATTAGGGAAGTAACAGGCTACAATTCAAGTTCAGGAATGTACTCAGGATACGGTTCTTTGATCAGGACACTCTCCCTTCTGCTGTGCCCTCAAACACGCATCTCTGGCCCTTGGCCTCTCTGCCCGACCTCTGCCTCTGTAGGCCAGATAAGCCTGAAGCATAAACATTGAAGCTTGTTCTCTTATTTTAAGAAACAAATTCTTATCAGAAATGTCTCTACATCTATAACTTTTAAAATGCTGCTAAAAATGTCAACACTGACATATTCTGGCTTACGTATTATCTTGCTTGTTCCTACATCTGCATGTTCAAGAAACCATGTAAATTTAACTTTTTCTTAGGGCACCAAATCTTTATAAACTTCAAGGTAAGCTGCTTGTTGAGAATATTGTTTTCAGTTTGCAACTAAGCGTCTTCCCATCAGTTTTGGGTCAAAGTTGTTAGACTGTACTGCATAACAGTTGGGGTCGCAGGCTTTTGAGACAGACACACTAAGGTATACATTTTGGCCCTGTCCCTTCCTAATTGTTGCCCTTGGATGAGTTACTTCAGAACTTTATATATCTTAGAGCAAGTCCAAGATTTGAAGGAGATAGGAAAAGACAGAGGGAACTTGAATAGAACGAAGTATTTATATATGCCTAGTGCAGAATTCCACATACTTTATATTCTTGTTGTTGTTGTTACATACCTTAGAGTTGGTTCTGATTCATAGCAACTCCATGTATAACAGAACGAAACACTGCCCAGTCCTGTGCCATCCTCACAATTATTGCTATGCTTGAGCCCATTGTTGATTTTGAGTGCCTTCCAACCTGAGGGGATCATCTTCTGGCACCGTATCAGACAACGTTGCACTGCTATTCATAAAGTTTTCAGCAGACAAGTTTTCCGAAGTAGGCTGCCATATCATTCTTCCTAGTCTGTGCTAGTCTGGAAATTCCACTGAAACTCATCCACCCTGGGTGACCCTGCTGGTATTTGAAATACCAGTGGCAAAGTTTCCAGAATCACAGCAACATGTAAGCCACCACACACACTTGTCAGTATGACGAACTGACAGATGAGTGGTAGTTATATTCTTAGGCGATGCTGTTGACCAGTGAAATTACTTGTTCGAAAGAATGCAATTGTTATGAGAAGTTTTTTTTTTTTATATATTATTGTTTTGTTAAAATAAAATAAGGGAGGAGTTTCTAAGGTACTTCAACAGAGATCATTGCCCTATGGCAATTCTATTCGTAAAAATATCAGTCAGGTAACACCAGATATGCTGCAGCAACAGATAAAACTCAAAATCCCAGAAGTTTAACAAACCCTTATTTCTCTTTCATGCTATATCCAATGTGGATAAAGGAATCTGTGGCCCTAAGTTAACCACAGTGATGGAATACAGACATGGAAAAGGCACACCAACTCTTAACTGAGTCAGTGCACAAATGACACACATTGATTTGCTTTATAGTCCATTAGCTAGAACTAGTCAATGCAGGGAACTCTGGTAGCATAGTGTCTAAGGCACCTGACTGCTAACGAGAAGGCTAGTGGTTCAAACCCACAAGCCACCCTTGGAAGGAAGGTTGGGCAATCTACTTCTGTAGTGATACCACCTCAGAAACCCAAAGAAAGGTCACTATGAGTCGTGTCCAACTTGATGGCACATAACAATAACAACAACAACAGTCAATGCAGAATAGTGCAATTGCAAAGGAACTTGGGAAATATATAATCACATGCATATTTTGTATTGAGCACTCAGAATTTCTGCTGCAACATCAATTATAAAAATCTAAATGTACAATAATTGAGCTTGAATATCTTATGAATAGGTGAAGAAGACTTTGAACAGAATATACCACCAGAACCATAAAGTTCATGAAAAGACTGTGCGTACTACTGCAGCTGCTGTCATTTTAAACAACAACCCATCTTACATGGAAGTAAAAAACATTCTGCTTTCTATTGGAGAACTTCCCAAGGAAATGAACAAATACATGCTCTCCATTGTCCATGACATTCTGCGTTTTGAAATGCCTGCAAGGTATGATACAGGGCATGCATTGTCTCTCTGCTTATTTAAGCTTATTTCTGTATTGATGTGGTACATATGTGACTAATAAGAAATGTTTGGTCATTATGCTAGGTTATAATGCATAAAAGTAAAGAATTTGCCAAATTTCCCGTAAGAGAACAATTTAGAGAACCAGATAAAAACAACTTAACTTTAAAATAAAACAAACAAATAAAAATATTACTTTGGCCCAATGATTTGGAAATTATCCTTTTTACTCTGGGTATCCAGTGGCATAGAGCCTAAGGCACTTGGCTGCTAACCAGGAGGCTGGCAGTTCAAATCCACCAGCCACTCCTTGGAAGGAAGGTTGGGCAATCTACTTCCATAGCGATACCACCTTGGAAATCCAATGAGGGGTCACTATGAGTTGGATATGACTCGATGGCAGTGGGTTTGTTTTTTGGTTTACTCTAGGTATCTTGTTTAGTATGGTAAATATATATTACCAAGTGTTAGTAATATTTTTAAAATAGAACTATTTTTATAGAACAAAATGATGTAAGTTCTCACCAAATGGTCTTTCCTCTTAACTTTCCAAATTTTAGGAATCTTTGAAGGCTGATAGATCACAGATGAAATGAATTTACCACTTAAGTTTAAAGTCTTAGGAGTGGCCCATATTTTAAGCCTATTTAAGATATGAAGAGAGAGATCAATAGACTTCGTTGTCTCAGTTACTCTCAGGGGATTCATCTTCCTTCCAGCTCCCCAGTCTTTTCTTCCTTAATTCACTAATGTCACTCTTCAAAGTCTCCCTCAAAGCTGTCTACTGTTCCTCACTACAATCAGGGAGCCAGAAAAAGAATTGATATTTCTTCTGAGTTATAAACAGAAAAAAATTGCATCAAATATAAGCATATCCAGTAGAAAGAAGACTCAAGATGGAGGGAGGGTAGAGAGTAGATAAAGGGAAAGGAAATGAGGAAGAGAGAAATTAAACAGTGAAGGAAAGAAAAATAAGGACCAAGATGATTGAAGGAACAAGACATATAGGGGGAATGAATAGAACAGAGAAAAGAGCAGGACAAAAAGAACAAGAAAGGAATTGAGAAAAGGAAAAGGAGGAAGCAGTCTGTCTACATCCATGTATTTCTAGTTCAATGGATTTTTACTTCTCTATTTCTTTGTTTGCGTTTATGACTCTGCAGTGTATTTACTGCTTTTTCTTATTGTTGTTGAATCTAGTGATTTAGAGGAGGTTAAAAAGGAAGCAATGGAGTAGGGGCACCTTAAAAATGTGAGGAGGTCATCACAAACATTGTGGGTACAATTCTCAGAACCAAAGATGTTAGAGCTGGAGATATGTTAAAGTCACTTCACTTGGTATATGTCTCCAGTATAGGGCTCTACTATTCTAGCATGTGTTTGTCCATATTTTGTCTGCACCTCTTCAGTGGCAGGAAACTCATCACCCCTGAGGCCACTTATATCATTGTTCAGAGACACTAATCATTACTTCTTTATATAAACTAAAAACTTCTCTGTAACTGCTGCCTATTGTCCCTGGTTTTATTCTTGAAACAAGGCAGAATAGGTCTAATCATTCCTCAATCCAGTCCAAGGCTCTTTGAATATTCGAGGACAGTTATCATGACCCTCTTCATCTTTTTGTCTTCAGGTTGAAATCTTGTAACCTAGTTATTTTTTTGGGGGGAAAAAAAAAACCTGTAAAGGTACCATTCCCTCCCTCTCAATAATTTTCTACCTCAGGCCTAGATCCAGACTCCTTTAGTTGGTTATTTTGATATTTTTGCTATGTTGTCATAATTTTATTATTACTTATGTGATTAGTATTGTTGTTGTTATGTGCCGTCGAGTCGGCCCCGACTCATAGCGACCCCTCCTTGGGTTTCCGAG